TAGCTCCACAGGAATGAGCCTTTGCCAGAAAGAACTTTTCTCTTGATGAATACCTGTTTATTATCAGCCTAGGCCCAAGAGTACATTTAGATTTTCCATGTCACTAATGTTCGACAAATATAAAAATTAGGACAGGTTGTGTATGATTTTTGCTATAAACTTATCTTTTTAGACCGTAACTGTTTCGTTTTATCATTAAACTGTCCAAAACATTAGGTACTCCCTTTACTTTGTTTACTTTAACTGCACGAACAAAATACAACGCTTGTAACTTTATACGGCGGGGACAAACGCACTAAAGAGCATCATAACTTGTGCTACACCATCAGAAGGCTACTAAAATCCACAGGCTGGTGATATAAAAAGGTAAATGACGGTTGGAAGTAGGTCAGGAATGGTGAATGAATCCAAATCGCATAATGTGCCCAGACATTACCGTGTCATGAAGGTTTAAAGTGGGTATGTTGGGCTTTTGCTATTGATACATAAGTGTGTGGATTTTCTCGCAACAATAACTAAGCAGAATTCCGATTTAAAACATTCAAAATTATCTTTTTTCTGTTATGTCTCTTAGACTACTCGTAACTGACCAAACTTGATGATCAATGGTTAAATAGGACTACATTCAATAGATACCCTAGACATTTAATAAAATTCGCTCTTTAAAAGCCTGATGCCCGTTTTCACCAACAATCCCTAATTTTTAAGTGATCCCTATGAAAACAAAATCCCTGTTATCTGCTACCATAGGGGTCACTTAAAAATTAGGGATTGATGGTGAAAACGGACATGAGACTCTCAAACCGGGTAACCTCATCATGCCCAGTGATTGTAATGATTATGTATGGCTAATCAAATAAGGCCAAAATCATGGTATTTTATACATGATAAAAGTAAGTAGTTTTTTTTTAAGAGTCTACCTAAAATAAGTTTTAGACTCTTACAAAATTAATGCCTGTAACTTGCTGTGCCTCCTGTTTCTAGAGGCTTAACGTAGCAAATACTCGTAGCCTCGCGAGAAATTGAATAAATAACTTTGATGTACAGGTTTTTATATTAGTTGCAAATTCCCTAAGTAGAATTACATAAGTGAAGTCACCTCAATCAACCTCCGTAATAGGATCTACATAAAGCATGTAGGCAATATATTACCGTAATGGAAGCTTGAAATGTACACGACAAGGTATGTTTGGGGTCACACATGGCCCATCCGTCAATTCGAAAGTACTCTATAATACCTTTGCGGTATAGTCGACGACATAAATGCCCAATATTTTAACGACAGGTGTTTTAAACTTCTTTGGTCAGTCTCTGTGAAGATCCAATCCAATAGTGTTGCAGTTTCTTTTTCCGTTCCTTTTTCATTTCATTTTTTTCTTTTCGAACAGATGTAAGTTATATTTTGGGAATGGGAAAAAAACATTAATATTAATTTACTTTAATCGTTTAATAATGATGACAGTTTCATTACCTCCAGGTTTTACTACGTGGTTCATTAAAAGGTTTAGTCCGATTTGGCCCAATTTACCATTGGATATTTTATTACCCGACTGCGCCAGAAGGAGGGTTATGTTTTTCGAGTGTATGTTTTATGATTATAAGCATAATTTTGTATTCGACTGTAGCAATAAATTATGGCTCAGAATACGCATCTATCATGAACTGCCTTTGACCCAGTTCAAGATGCCTGTCTCCGTCACGTACAGTTAGCACATTAGACTTTACATTTTTATTACAAAATGACACGTATTACGGCTACTTAAGATGCAGTGTTTAACTTGATAAGACGTCGTAGTAAGTACATTAACAGTAGGCGCATACCGTTGATTTTTCGTCGGCCGATAGTTTAGTCGGGCAGTTGATCAGTATGGGCATGTATGGGAGTGCGCACACTACGCCGATTCGATTTGGCCGATTCTTCATACAATTTAAAATCGGGCACAACTATCAGCCAACTAAAAATCAACGGTGTGCGCCTACTCTAAACAGATAAAAAATAATCTTACCTTATGCTGTCAGGGAAAATAAAAAGTAGAAAAATAATTTTATTTTCATAAAAAAGTATTCAATATATTGAGAGAGCTGAATGAAGATAAATTCTTACAAGGTCATGTATAGCATAAACTCTTTTATTAAGCTTAAAGATATCACGATTAAAAGTTACGTCATAATTTGACAGATTTTCAAACGGACGCCTTTCATTTTTTTTTTTCAAATTTTCTTCTCTACAAATTCAAAAATCGTATTAAGTTAAGCAACCTCCGTCCCACATTAACAACATGTCATCAAATTAACGTTAACTTCACAAACTATTCAACTCATACGTTCAAGGATCCCAGAAGCTAAGTAAGCTTTTTAGGTCACCAGACCTCAGAAATAAGTTGCAGCGCGTTTTAAAAGCGAAATAAACTACTGAAGTCACGAGCTAAAAGCTGGTAAATTATAATTAGTTTAGTGACTTGCATTACACACATGTCCCGGAGGAAAACACATTAACCTCTTTTTCGTTTCGTCTAGCCATAAAGACTGAAATCGTAAAGTTGATGCCGTTTTAGGGCCGTTTTAATATCGGCATGATTGGATCGGTTAAGCGAATAGGATACTTCAGATATATGAAAGCTTTGGGACTTTTACGCTTTTGCAGAGATACTCGTAGCGTTAGGTTAACTGAATGCCTGGGAGAGCTATTTTGGACGTGTTTGTGTCCTAAAAAGGACCTATTGAATGTGACTTTTTGTGGTTCTAGGGTTCTGCACCCAAAGATTGTCAACTGAAACTTCTGAATACGGGTGATCATTTATTTTAGAATTTAATTTCGAAAGATCATTGAATTATAATTACACATCTCTCTCTCTCTCTCTCTCTTAGATAAAAATAATCCGAAAAAAAATTCAATTAGCAAAACCATTTCCTTACAAGACCTGTGTCTTTCTCTAATTAAAAACATAATCTAGCCCCGTGGTCATAACAAAACCCATTCCAAAATATTATTAAAACTCACTGCACTTTTGAACTGTTCCTTCAAAGACGTGAACTTATCTTAATGTTGCCATCTGATGTTGCCTTATATCTCTAAAAAAGTACCCCCTTTGGTACATTAGGGGAGATATTTTTCCAGAGAGGTGTAATTAGCAAGGAGTGAAGCCCTGAGGATGTCTTTTTGCCTGACTTGTTTTGTTTTAGTGTTATTGCTATTCAAGCAAATTATTGTGGGGGAGATGGAATTAACTTTTTGTAACACGGAAATAATGACCCTTGTCTGATTTTGTAGAAAAAATGGTTTTCGGGGTGGATTTTCCCGAAAATGTAGCCTATGTGACAGAATAGCGGAAAATCCTGAATTTTCACGATGAAGCATTAACTCAAATATTAAATATTCTGAATGTTAATTTTGTGTAAAATAAGCAAACTTTTAAAGTAATCACTAACCTTAAACTAAGATCGTGATACAATTAACTTAGGCTTAAATGTGGTTTTAAAACGGATTTAGAATTTAGAAACACCCCTCAATTTACATAGCAATCGCATCTTTAAACCTCCAAACGTTCTGACAAAGTTACAATATCCGAGTACTTAATTAAATTGAAAAGCTAAATCAGTATGCATTCAATGAGCCGTGCAAGTGATCCCAAACCTCCAAGAATTAAACGCCGAAGTCTTTCGTATCACCCCTTGTCCCTATCCAACCCCTGCAATTAAAACGCACCAGAAGGGTTGGTTGCACTGCTTTTGAAATTGCAAACACGTCCATTGTTTTAATCTACTCCTCTCTTAGAATCCGGGATATTATACTAAAACGGTACCACTAGTATACCTTGAACCCTCAGTCTCGAGCAAGTTTGTTACACGCAGGAGATACCAAAGTGTCTTCAAGCGCTGGACGGTGGCACGAGTGCGGGAATTTCCCAACGTATACTTGATTGAAATATTAATTTCTAGAGACTCTATCCTGTTTACTACTGTGAAATAACCAGGCAACAATGTTAAGAATAAAAATTAACAATATTTTCAAACAGTCTTGATTATCAAAGCCAACTGTGAGTTGTGCAAATAATTCACTTTGCTTAATATAAAATAGTGATTGCTAATAATACGAATATCCGCCTTATGTGTCATTTCTTATCTAAATTACTTTTCGAAGAAAATTAACATGCGACACAGTCTATGTTGGATTCGACGATTAACCTCTTTCTCGAAGTTGGACCTACCTAACTGGACTGTTTGTCCCAGGTATACATAATTGTCAACAACTTCGAGTGTAGTGTCTCCAACCTTCAGAGGAGTGGGTACAACACGGGCATTTGACATAATTTTTGTCTTGTCCATGTTCATTTTAAGACCCACTTGTTGAGAGGCTCNTTTGACCAGTGTGTGTTGCCAGTGATGGTGTATGGCTCTGAGACGTGGTCGCTTACTATGGGCCTCATAAGAAGGCTCAAGGTCACCCAAAGAGCGATGGAGCGTGCTATGCTCGGAGTTTCCCTGCGTGATCGAATCAGAAATGAGGAGATCCGTAGGAGAACCAGAGTGACTGACATAGCCCGCAGAATCGCTAAAATCAAGTGGCAGTGGGCGGGGCACATAGCTCGAAGAGATGATGGCCGCTGGGGCAGAAAAGTTCTTGAGTGGCGACCACGAGCTGGAAGACGTAGCGTGGGCAGGCCTCCCACTAGGTGGACCGACGATCTGGTGAAGGTCGCGGGAAGTACCTGGATGCAAGCGGCGCAGGACCGGTCTTTGTGGAAATCCTTGGGGGAGGCCTTTGTCCAGCAGTGGACGTCTTTCGGCTGAAACGAACGAACGAACGAACGAACAGTCTATGTAATTAGATAATATGAATAAATTATTACACACACTTTTTAAGAAATTAGGAGGTTAAGAACGCTAATAGGCGACGTAATTGAGTCCGAAATTGTAGGGGTGATTTAACCCTTTTTAATGAGATACTTAAAAGCATTTTTGATCAATTCAACGACCGTCAGAACATTACTATATCAGCCATGGAAACACGCGGTCAGTCCCATATATTCGACATCAATAAATTCTTCTGGAAAATTTTCGGGATATGGCCTGGAGAGATTCCAAAGCAATATTACAAATACTATTCGTTCCTGTACATCTCAATAACGACGGTTATGTACAATGGTTTGCTAACCTTAAATTTATTTTACACGCCCCGAACCCTTGAAGGGATGATTGGAGAGGTCATATTCTTTTTTACTGAAGTGGCAGTGGTCGCGAAAATAGTGATGGTCCTTGTACTGAGAGAAAAGATTATTTCGATACTGAAATTAATCGATTGTGCTGAATTTGAAGCGTGGGATGCGACGGGAAAAGACATTTTGGATAAAATGTCATCGATTTATAAGACCTGCTGGAGAGCCTGCGCTGCTGTATCAAACATATCATATTTCTTCTTTATTATTTTACCGATTTTATCACACTTCATTTGGAAGGCTGACATTGAGTTGCCTATATGCAAGTATTATTTTCTTAGCGATGAAATTAAGCAAAGATACTTTATGTTATGGTTTGTTTATCAAGCTATTGGGATATACGCCCATATGTCATATAACATAAATATCGATTCCTTTATATCGGGTTTGATGTTTGTGGCGATACGACAGCTGAAATTGCTTAGTCACAACTTTTCGCAGATACAATCCAGAAATAATTCTGTCCTAACTGACTCCAAGTCAGATTTGGTAACGTTGCATAAATTACTAAAGCATTATGATATTATTATAAAGTAAGTATTTCAGGTTGATTTGTAGGTAATCTTAACATTTTATGTTTTAGGGTGTTTTAATTGGTTTGCGTTGATTTCAGATATTGCTACGATATTCAAGACATCATAAGTTTGGTCATGTTCATACAGTTTTGTATGGCATCGGCAGTTATATGCGTGACCATGTTTGGATTGATAACAGTAAGTGTAACTGCTGAAATACACTATTTTATTCAGGTTAAATACTAGTAGTTGTCATTTTCTGTTGAGCTTTTATAGAAAATATTAATTTTTAAATATCTACTACTAAATACAATTTCCCAGGTATCTTCACACGAAATATTCTATGGAATGCTATCATACTTATCAGTGATGACGTCACAGATTTTCGTCCCATGCTATTTGGGAACACACTTGGATTATGAGGTACGTTCTATGGACCTTCTTTACCTAGTTTAACACAGGGTTAAAAGTCATACAGTTGCTTTTGTATTACGTTAGTTGCTCATAGTGATTGACTTAAAAACATTTTTTTAATGGTTTCAGAGCCAAAATTTAATGATTGCTGCATACAACTGCAATTGGGTGCCCCAGTCTGAACCGTTCAAGCGCAGTCTTCGCCTCTTCATATCGAGAGCCAACATTCCTATTGTCATCCAGGGTCTTAAGATATTCCCACTGTCGTTGAAAACCTTTATTGGAGTAAGTTTTTAATCTGAAACTACGAGTACATTGTGTATTAGGTACCTAAATTTTGAGGAATTCGCGGTTCAGAGATCCTTTAAGGTCATAAGGTATATTTTTAATATATTTATAGTGGAGTCACAAATGTTTTCGGCGTTCAGAGTCCTTATTTTAAAAAGCAACGAGTAAAGCGTAGGTAATTTGAACTGCACCTTTTGTGAGGCGTCCAAAAAACTGAGTTAATTTAATTGTGTAATTGATTTATTTTCAGATAATGAAGATGGCGTATTCTTTCTTTACTCTTTTGCGGAAAGTGCAGGATCGTGAAATGTAATTCACAAATAATTACGTTGTTGTTTAATAGTGTTGTCAAAGTAGTAACAACCGAATTTATTTCAAATAGATTTTTTTAAGTATCTACCTGTGTATTCTATCTAGAGTTCGTTCGTTTCAGCCAAATGACGTCCACTGCTGGACAAAGGCCTCCCCCAAGGTTTTCCACAATGAACGGTCCTGCGCTGCCCGCATCCAGGCTCTTCCCGCGACCTTTACCAGATCGTCGGTCCACCTAGTAGGAGGCCTGCCCACGCTACGTTTTCCAGCCCGTGGTCGCCACTCGAGAACTTTCCTGCCCCAACGGCCATCGTCTCTACGAGCTATGTGCCCCGCCCACTGCCACTTGATCTATCTAGAGTAGTAATAACCTATGCTTGAGTTTGAATTGTATCGTGAACATATTTTCTAAATACGAGCCCACAACATGCCATTATAACACATTCATTTTACCCAACTGCTGTGCTGCTGTGTAGTGCTACTAAGGATGCAGAAAGATGCTTTTGTTAGCTACTTCGTGCTTTTCCTTGTGCTCTCCTGGATAGTGCTAACGAGCCTGGTCATTACTGTGCGTGTCCTGAGAGCAACTTACAAGGACATGGTTAAGTCTTCTGTTTAAATATCAAAATATACATACAATATACGTCTAATGTCAGTGACATGAATATTATTCACGATAATCCCATACTTGTTCATTCACTGTAAAATCAATAAAAATACAGTGTGAGTCACGTTAAAGTGTACATATGAAAATAGATGAAACTAGACCTATTTTTATCGACAAAAAAGAGGTCAAAATTTTTTTGAGATTTTTTTTTAATTTTTTATAGAATTTTTTTTCTTCCAATTACTTATTGTAAAGAAAACGTAATAACTTTTAAACTAAGCGGTATATCCTGATAAAATAAAAACAGTAGTAATTCTAAATAACAGGCAATACTAAAAAAATACATAAAATACACAAAAAAGGCCAACAAATAACAAAAACTGATAANTCGTTAACAACAAAACTGAAAATTGCTCTAGATTTGTAATTTTGATAAAGACAAGTTAGATTTCAATTATAAACAAAAGATTTCGAAGTAAAGTAAGCATTTTAGTGAAAATTAAAATTGTCTCTACCTGTAGCGGAGAATAATGTTGTGGCAGGCCTTTGTTCAAACGATCATAGCAAATGTTGTGATAGGGATAGAGACATGCGATTTTTGGTTTTACAAAGATAATACGATAGAGAACAATACTAAGTAATAAAAACCACCTGTTATAGGGGCATTTTTTGGAGAAATTTATCAAATAACCAAAAAAACACGAATTTTTACGCAGATTTTTTTCAAAAAGTATATATTTTTTTATTTTTTGGCCTTTTTTGTGTATTTTATGTATTTTTTTAGTATCGCCTGTTATTTAGCATTATTACTGTTTTTATTTTATTAGGATATACCGCTTAGTTTAAAAGTTATTACGTTTTCTTTACAATAAGTAATTGGAAGAAAAAAAATTCTATAAAAAATTAAAAAAAAATCTCAAAAATTTTTTGACCTCTTTTTTGTCGATAAAAACAGGTCTAGTTTTATCTATTTTCATATGTACACTTTAACGTGACTCACACTGTATATGTGTAACGTAATGTTTGTATGTAGCTATACCTAATATCAGTGCTAGTCAAAATAAAGTTGCTTAATTCTTTCAATAATTAGATTTTAAGATCAACCATTGAAGGACTTGACTTGCGTACAAACAAACAAACTTGGTGTTTTATTATTATTCTGAATTTCTCCAATAAGTAGATACTTCTAGTATACAGTATTAATTCCTGAAAAGCAAATAATTGCATTGCAAATTGATAGGCAAAAGAACTAAATGACAGGCCGTGTAAATATTGATGAATCGTCCAAATGACAGCCTTTCCTACCCTATGTGTTTAATTTTCATTAGCTGTGGGTAAAGCATCAGTACTAGCTGTATTGTTAAGCTGTGACACGTCTGTGAGTCTAAATAAAAGTATTAAAATAATCTATCAGAGCTTTTAAGGAGGTTTGGTATCGGTTAATTTTTTAATTACTTTACTGTTTGTACGCTACTTAATATCATTTGTTTATGATTTGCATTTGCTTTCTCTAAAAAATGGATCAAAAATTAAATTATTTAATTTCGGTTCATATTACATACCTACTAAATATTCTTTTATTTTACAGTTTAAAACATGTTTCTTTTGAAAGAAAAAGACGTGATATCATCGAATACCCAATCACAAGTATTCAAGCCGAACATATTTTTTTGGAAAATATTCGGATGGTGGCCAGAAGTTACATCAACCATTTACTATAGATGCTACTATATTTCTTTTTTATCGCTAACATCTGTGGTGTACTTGTTCCTTTTCACATTGAGCCTACTTTACTCTCCGATTGAATTGGAAATTATCATTGCCCAAGCTATGTTTTATTTTACGGAAATTTCTGGTCTATCGAAGATATTTATGATAGTAAAAAGACGAGAGGACATACAGAAGGCTTTCAAAATGCTGGATTCTGAGGAATTTCAAGGAGATGACGTGATTCCCAGAGAAATTATAAACAAGAATAAGGTTTATTATTTAAAATATTATAGGGCTTGTGCCACATTCTATTACATAGGATCATTTTTTCTCCTTTTCCTGCCAATCATTGAGTACGTAGCCGGCCATGCGGATTTAGAATTGCCTCTCTGTCAGTACTATTTTTTATCTGAACATGTCCGAGATAAATACTTCAATGTGATATTTATTTACCAATTTTTCGGTCTGTTTGTATTGATATCGGGTAACGTTAATATAGACACGTTTATCTGCGGATTGCTACTGATGGCCATAGCTCAGTTCAGAATGTTGAATTGGAAGATGAGTAATTTAAAAATGAACCCACTTGATTTGGAAAACGAGTCTGACGATGAAGAAACTATAATGATGCGAAATCTGAATAAATGTTTGAAGCATTACGATCTAATTTTGGAGTAAGTACCTACACCACACACCAACATTAATTCTGGTTTAAAATATTTCCTAAATATCCTCAAATATTACAAATCCTTTCAGGTACTGTGATCACATTCAAGACGTGCTAAGTGCAGCAATATTTGCCCAGTATGGGACTGCCGCAGCCACTATGTGCCTATCTATGTGTACAGTTCTCATGGTTTGTGTAATTTTAAGTAGGTACCTATGATATTTTCAGCGACAAAAATTGTTGAAGGCAGTTGCTGCTACTTACATGGAAATAACCATTTTTTTTAAGTTATAGTATAAAATTGTGTGGTTGTGTATTTCAGCCAATGGCAAGTGAGGATTGGTTGTTCATGGGATGTTACATAGGAGCAATGACACTAGAAATTTTCCTTCCTGGTTTATTAGGAGCTGAACTAATGAATGAGGTATTTTAAAGTTTTTTGGTATTATTCAGTGAACTTTTAAACATAAACTAAACTTTTAGAGTTAAAAGCTAGTGGCAGCCGCGTACAGTGCCGATTGGATACCGCACTCAGAGAGTTTCAAGTGCAGCTTCTGCCTCTTAGGAACATAAATTTTGATATTCTAAGGTAGAGCACGCAAACAAACCCATAGTAATCGCCTAAAATGAGTAGAGCTAATGTTTTATTTCTCTCAGTAAACTGTATAAACTAAACTTTTTAGAGTCAAAAGCTAGTGGCGGCCGCGTACAGTGCCGATTGGATACCGCGCTCAGAGAGTTTCAAGTGCAGCTTCTGCCTCTTAGGAACATAAATTTTGATATTCTAAGGTAGAGCGCGCAAACAAACCCGTAGTAATCGCCTCAAATGAGTAGAGCTAATGTTATATTTCTCTCAGTAAACTGTATAAACTAAACTTTTTAGAGTCAAAAGCTAGTGACGGCCGCGTACAGTGCCGATTGGATACCGCGCTCAGAGAGTTTCAAGTGCAGCTTATGCCTCTTAGGAACATAAATTTTGATATTCTACGGTAGAGCGCGCAAACAAACCCATAGTAATCGCCTCAAATGAGTAGAGCTAATGTTTTATTTCTCTCAGTAAACTGTATAAACTAAACCTTTTAGAGTCAAAAGCTAGTGGCGGCCGCGTACAGTGCCGATTGGATACCGCGCTCAGAGAGTTTCAAGCGCAGCCTCCGCCTCTTAGTAGAGCGCGCAAACAGACCCATAGTAATCACCGGCCTCAAGATGTTCACGCTTTCTTTGGAAACCTTCACTTCGGTGAGACTCTTGACTTATTCATGGGTTTGTCTCAATGAGTTTAGTTTTAAAGTCCGAGTAGAGATACTTTTAGAGGAAACGCGGAAGGCATTTGGTGCACAAATGCATTGTCTTTTTGACAGTGCTACGAGTAGCTGCAATTATATAATGTGAATAGAAGGACCCATAAATATACCTCTAAGTAATAGAGGTAGGTAACTAGGTAATAAGTGGATTTGAGCATGAAACAAAAAATATGAAAGGACAAAGAAATACATTACGAGTATAATTATTAATAATTTTGACATTCTCTTTTCTGTGTGAATTTCTGTGATTAATTAGGTTACATGAAATTTTATTGTTTTGGGTCGATATTATAATTAATTGTAACTATTAAATTATAATTTTACTGAATATATTAACAAAAATGTATTAACTAAAGGTCGGGGTGTCTGATGTTTTGGGTTGTTCACATTCGTGTTAACAAAATACGCCAAAAATCTTGAATATTTCATTTAAAATTACAGATCATAAAATTGGCGTACTCGTTCTTCACGCTTCTGAAAAATGTTCAAGAAACAGAAATTGCATAATCTTCACAATGTAGCAGCTTGAAAATATTACTCGCTTCAACAAAATATTTTTAATCTTAAGAAAATGTATTCTTTTAAATTCCACTATAAATGTGAACGTGTTTTATTGCAATAAATTTTGATTTTACTCTTATATGTATAGATATTACTATGGCTTCAGTAGTTTTTGTTTGTCAATGAAATCGTTGACCCTAACCTTCTTCCTACTTTATTTTTTTGGCCTATTTTTATCACGGTGAAATCGATATTTGACAGAACGTAAAACACTTTGACACAATGTTCGTAATGATGACTGTTACTTTTTATATTAAAGAGTTTAGGCTGTAGCCACACTATGTTGATTATAACGATTGACTGGGTGCCAAATAATTTCACCTACGGTCAGCGTCAAATAGTTCGTGACATCCAAGTGGTCAAAAAGTTGAAAACACAACCTTATTCCAATCGTAACAAAACATGTTGCGAACTTTTTGGCTACTTTATGTGTTTACGAACTATATGACGCTGCCTGTATAATTTATATCGTAAACATGATTAAACTGTTTCTACCTGTATAAAGACCTCGTATTTCGCGACGCAGGTGCCCAAATCACGGTGCAATCAAGGCGTTCGAATCAAATTTTGCGTATTCCACTAATAGGTGGCGCCACCTGCACACGGATCATTACCAGGCGGGCTGGAATCGTCAATTAATGCCGTTATATCAAACCCAGTCACGTGGCGTAGCGATAATTGCTATGACTTATATAAACGATTGTAGTAATTTGAATTGCTAAATGTTACACCTAGAGCGGAATTGGGATATTGTAAAGATGTTTACAGTAGACTTACTTAAACTCACTTATAACTCATCAAAAATAGCTCAAGATTTTTTAACAACAGATTTGTATTGGGAAAACGAAATCATCACTATAATCTGTTCTAGATAACATCAACGTAACTGAGGAAAAAAACATTATAAAAATAGATTTGCTAGAGCATATTTTACTATCACGAAAGCACATAGTCTAGTAATAGTAGAGTTCATATTTTATTGAAATAATAACAAAGAACTTCTAGAATATCAAAAATAATGAAACTACTGTACCTACTATTTGTATTGTGGTTGTATGGCCGACCTGTAAATTTTAACTAACGCGAATTCGCGATCTTAATTGAATTCGACAGGCGTGCGCGTAATTGTTACAGTACGATAAGTAAGTGGATTACCACCCTTCAATAGTTCTATACAATGAAAATTTCTCTCAAGTAAAGCTTACAGCCTTTGCAAAAATTTATAAAGATTCAAGGCATGATTAGGATGTACTGATTTGTCTTTTCTTATAGAAGCTAAGTATTGCAAGGCAAGTTTTTTTTCTCAACGTTAGCGTTACTATCGATTTACATTGTTTGTATAGCTACGAGCGCTACGATGCTACGAAGCTACGAAAGAAACGTCTTTACCAGCGTGCAGTTGGAAACTAGCGCCCGTATTCACAAACATTGCTATGAGGTCTCACAGTGCGCGTGGACGCACAGTGTCACACACGAACCAATCTCAGAGCTCTATTCGACACTGTGCGTTCGATTTGCTGCTTCACTTAAACAAGTATCGTTTGTGAATATCGGCGTAAGTCTCAACTTGCTGTAAGTATTTTTATTAAAATTGACCCGATAATCCGCAGTGCGATACAGGGTGTAAGAGACAGATTTATTCCTGCCACATGTAAGATTTGTAAAGCTGTCGTTTGCATGTTTTTTTTATTTAAACATCTTAACAGCATCAAGTCGCTGGCGAAATAGTACTCCAGCTAAATAATACTCGCTGAAGAAACTCTTTTCTTTTAGTGTAGACACTGTACAAATGTATAAGTCCACTATTGCATGCCGTGGCAACCTATAATTAAGGCAGCACTTAGATTAAGTTTAAATACGTTGTAAACATTGATTGTCTTCTAGTGTATGTCTTGTTGGTTGACCTAAATAAAAAAAATGGGTTAGTAGACGTTTCGCACATTCGTGCGAAGGAAAATCGTGCGAAACTACTAGTAACCCAAAAAATAAACAAAAAACAGTCCTAGGCACCTTTAGCACCCAACTATAACTATGTAAGATACCTACTTATGCAGATGTCGTAGTTGGCACATTTTCGCATGAGACGTGCCGCGGCTAATGGGTTGCCTCGTTACACAAATCTTGGAGATAACAAAAATATAAATAATAATTAGCTGAGTTTCTCAACGGAGATAATGTTAGCAGTTGGACTTACGCTAGTTTTGGTTGTGTGGTAATTTTGTTTTCATTTTGTAAATTAGAAAGGGTGCTTAAGTAACGTTAAAATGTTAATGGCACTACGTAAAGTAAAATTAAATGGAGTTTGAAAAGTAGTTTTTAATTTTAATAGAAACTTAAAATATATTTTAGAGAAAGTGAAGTAAACGATTAGGTAGAAACAGTTAGGCTGAGTAGCTTTAAAGGTAGAAAAATATAAAAATTTTAACAGCGGGTCATCGCATTTAAGAAGTGTGATCACATTATTATTGATTAAAAGACTTTATATATACCGCTAATTCTACCTGGAATTGAAAAACCTAGTGCTTTAATATGAATAAGCCTATGATTTCAATTTTATATAGCAGTGTCTTAAAGACTCTTAACCTGTGTACCATCAGCCTTACAAACAAAAGAGCTTCAAGTTAACACCATTTGATTTGAAAACGAAGCGAAAGCGAATCTTGCTTACCACAGTCAACCGCTAATGATTTAAAAACAAGAGAATTTACACAATCCGAATCAACGTAAACACACGAATCCGAGTTAGGGTTAATGTCAACAGTTCGCGTTTACATTTAGTTTAGAATGAGCTTTGTAATGATTACACTGTACAAAAGCTGAGTTCATCGTATTAAAAATTTACATTGTAATTAATTTTCACAGTTTGGATCATGTGAGTACAATTGAGTACATGACATGCACACAATCAATCAATGTAAATGATTGAACAATATTTTAATTAGAGGTGGAATTGTGTAAAGCAATCGTAATCATTTGACAGTTCATAACGTACGATAAAGTAAATTAAACAAAGCGTTTGACAGAATAATCTTACGTTATGAACTGTCAAATGATTACGATTGCTTTACACAATTCCACCTCTGGTCAATACTTTTTCACATGGTTATCAGTTCTGTTTAACTCGTCAATATTTTTTCGGCATTTAGACTGGTTTGCGCCATCTTACTTAATAGCTATGATAAACGTCAAATCTGTCAAACTTCATACAAAAATCACTAGTTCAGGTTAAAGTAACAGTTAAATTAAGGTGGTTCTCACTCAGCCTTAATGACTGTTGTATAGATTACAAATAATTTTCTAGAGATTTATTTAATAAAGCACCGTACTCACTGTTAGGGTAAAAGAAGAAGTAAAGACAACAGAAACTGAGCCGTTAGCAAAAGTTTTAAAATTAACGTTTAAATTTTGAAGTTGGATTGCGGGTGTATAATTCAGAGCGGTCTTACTGGTGGTCTCTACGCAAAGTGACAAGGGCGCAAAAATGAAATTTTTAAGCTTCGGATGCAATAAAAATGCATCGTCTCGAAAATAAATCTTATTACTTATTATTTAATTTTATAAACGTTTAGGGAATAAAATTTATCACTTTTCTATATTTTATTATGTGCATAATTTTATTACGCGCAGGTATGTCTATTGATAGGATATAGCTATATTTGGGACGAGTAAAATTGCCCTGAAAAAGGGCCTAGATACCTACTAGTAAATAATATTATGAATAAAAAAAATATTTTTATTTAATTGAGTGCGAAATTATATTACACTTTTTATATTTTGTGTACTTCACCAACGTAATATTAATGTCACTCAGTCGTTGATTGCACTTGAATAACCTCTTCCTAAGTGCGTTCTTCAAATTTGAGGATCGTGACCCCTTTTATTTAGTCGCCTCCTTGACGAGTTGTCTTCATTCGTCTTTTTTGTTTTGCTGTTGAATACTGGATTGAAGTATTTTTTGGGCGAAAAATACGCAAAGTAAAAAAATAAAAATTTTCGACTTGCATTGTTTTCCGTTGGAACCATCGCTATTATAGTCCCTGAGGCTGGTGAAGATTAATCGTTTGGGTCTATTTAAAAATTCAAATTATCTATACAGCTCTGCTACTTTCTGATTTCAGTTGTAAAGAGGGAATTAATATTTAAAATTTTACCGCTTAAACTGAGCCGGAGTTTGGGTTAAAAGTGATTGCTTATTTACATTTCTCGTTATGTTAATGTTGGGGTGTCTTGTTAATTTATACACCTTTATTCGTGTAAAATCGCTTAAACTTTGTATGCAGGCACTTAAATACATTTTTGCTGTATTCATTTGAATTGAATGTCACGTGGTAAATATTTTGTTTATTTACTGAGTCAGGTTTTTATGAGGAAATTATTCTGCATGAGGATTAAAAGATAATTTACTCTGAGTATTTTTCCTATCTTTACGGATTATGACTATGAACTTTTGCTTTAGGACAAAACATGAGTATTATCATCTGTATTACTATGTCGATTTTTAGCCCTAAGATGGAATAGAGACAAAGTGCCATACCAAAAATTTGCCCTTTTTCCTAGTTAAATAAATACGATAGAATAGTTAGTACTACTCGTATTGCCACCATTTTTGTAATGCAATTTGTAAGGTAAAGTGATTCAAGTGTGATCCTGTATGAGGGCAAATCTTGACATGTGTCACAAATAAACGTCACGGATATCTTCAAAGTAATGGTAAGCCGATCGGGAGCCAGCTTTTGTTCTTCGTATAGGAGGTGCGAGTGGGGATGATCCTTGCCGAAACGAAGCCCTACGGCGGTGAACCCTGTATTGTGTAGTCAGAGGTAGAAAGTATCAATTTTCCTAGCAAATAAAGGCGAATAACATAGACATTGAACTCTCTATGCATGTAGAGATTTGAGTAAACAATCTTTGATTGCCAAGTGTAACTCAATTATTTAAGTCGAGTTTTATTTATTATTAACAATCTCTAAATATTGTCAATTTCTATCGGCGCAGACTATAGTATACAGGGTGGAATTTTGTAATGC